ATAGGGTCTCCCTTTAGCCCCAGCTGGCCTGGAAATCGCTATGTAGACCAGGCTGGCCTTGAACTCATAGAGACCCGCCTGCCTCTGCCTCCCAAGTGCTGGGACTAAAGGCATGCGCCACCATGCCTGGCTCTTAAATTTTAATCTCTATTTAAAATATATATGCACTTAAACAGTATAACCCAGATGTGGTAAAAATCATGACAGCCTCACAAATGACTAAAAGTCTTGGCACAGCCTCACCCACTTGAGGTGGCGATCCAGTGGCATTGTAGGTCAGGCGGCTGTCAGGGGTGGCAGGCAAACTCCCCACCTGCTCCTCAGGCCTTCCTTGTCTTGACTTCCAGTACTTCGAGTACACAACCCAGAGGGACCTTCGTCACAACATTGCGAAGCAGCTGTGTCTACATGCCAGGGCTGGCATGCTAGGCCTTAGAAACTGTCACTTCATTGGAAAAAATAGCAAAGTGCCCAAGGATGAGGAATGGGAATTGACCCAGGTGAGTTCATGGCCCAGAAAGTTCAGAATCAAGAATCACAACACCTGCCCTCTTTCTATTTTGCATCTTCTGCCTGGGGCACAGTAGGGTAGATCAGAGCAGGGTAGAACTCATGGTGAGTGTGGTAATGGCTGGTTCTGACCGATACAAGGATAGAGCAGGAGATTATGATTCATGGCCAATTCTGCCATGGCACATTTTTAGACCGAATGTGAGTATATAAAGGTGAAAGGTCCCTCATGTGCCAGAAGTAAAGCAAGGTTCAGGCATACATTGGCTCAATCTTTCAGGGGCTCTGTCCCAATGGGACGTGTCTGTATTTCTACAAATCAGCCAGATGGAGTTCAACAACTGACTAGCCCAGACCCACCACTGGCAGATAGCAGGCTGGGATTCAGACCTACCTAAGTCTGACTTGAAAATGTAGGCTCTTTCCCTTGCACCATACTGCTCTAAAATAGGTGATGTAACTCCATATCACTAAACCCAAGCTCCACACACTTTGGTTCCCAGCCCAGGAAAAGAGGGACCTAACCATGAGGCTACCAGGAAGGTTAGAGTCAAAGTGTAACCAAAAGCAGGAAGGGGGTGGGGGCAGACAGCAGTGACCCCAAGTCTTTGAGCCTGGTCACCTTGGGGAGAGGGAAGCCCTGCAGTTGCTTTTCTATTAGCTGTGGTCTGCTCTCTTCATTACAGCCATCATTCTAAAGCTGGGCATGGGAATCTAGCATCTCTTTAGTGTCTGCATCTCCAGGAAAGACTTGAAAGTGTCCTTTGTGCCTTGTCCAGTTTCCTTACCTTTTATCAATTTTCCTTGTCTCATTGTCCCTTAGTAGCACAGTTAGAGTTTGTAGCCCCGTTGACCCTCTGTTGTGTTGTCTTTTAGGATCAGCTCATCAGAAACTCAGAAACTGGTACCTGCCTGACATCCCAGGACAAAAAGCCAGCCATGGCCCCCTGCAATCCTAGTGACCCCCACCAGCTCTGGCTGTTTGTCTAGCACCCCCATCATCCCCAGTGCAAACCCAACAAGTCTCTTAGGAACCAGGGTCACTGGGCATCTGGGAATCTTATCACCAGCTCCTCAAGGTCTGACAAATCAATTTCCAAGCCAGTGGATGTCAAGGCAGGATCCTACTCTTCATAACAATGTTGGGCCAGTTTTCTCCCTCTACATTGGTGGAAGAGACCAGGAGGTCACATGCTACTTGGCTCAGGGCTTTCCTTCTCTCCTAGAAATGGAGGACTCCAAAGCAACAAGAGCAACCTGCAAATGTGTTCCACAGAGGGACTGGAGGCTAAAAAGATTCTCTCTTGCTACCGTTACCCTGGGTGTCAAACTCTTTATGATTTACACAAAGTGCCTTGCCAAGTGTCTTTTATCCTACTTCATTTGCACAATAATCCATGAAAAAGACAGGACAGGAGCTACCATGCCCATTTTTACAGATGAGAAAACTGAGGCTGGACTGGGGTAAGTTCAGGGCAACATGTCCACGGCCCTGGGTTTGATCCCTGGTGCCACAGAAAACAGAAAAGAACGAAGAGGAAAGCAAAGAAGAGGCAGAAAGAGGTTGAGGGCTTTTCTGAAGTCACAGCTGGCAGGTGGCCCAAGCTGGGGCTGAGATACCATCTGTGGTGCTGAGCCGGGGCTCCTTCCACCACACAAGAACACTAGACAGCAATCCACCAGCCTTGCTGTTCTTTACCTGATTCTGATCATTTCTAACTGTTTGGCCTCCAGAAAGCCAACAACTGAGCCAGGTTAACAGGCTGAGAGATCACATTGGGAATCCTGGGATGTCAATGTTGAAAGAAGTTCATGGGTCCTTACAGTCAGTGATTTAAGTTTAAAGACCCCCCCCTTTTTTTTTCTAAAAAGCAAAGCAGGAGCTAAGTGCAATGCCATAGGCATATAATCTTAGTACTCAGAGACTGACACAGGAGCCTCCTGAGGTCAAGGCCAGCCATGGCTACAGAGTGAGACCCTCATCTCAAAAACAAACAAACAAAATAATAGCATGATAGATACGAGGGAGGGCAATGCCTTCCAGCCCATGAACTTCTAAAGGTCTGAAAGCATAATTTAAAAACTGGTATGTTAGTCCAATCCTTTAATTTATTATGCAGCTGCGGGAGTGTTTTGTTCAAGGTCACTTAGTGATGTGTTGGCAAATAAAGCTAACCAGAGTCCTGGCAAGTCTGAGGAATCAGAACAGTATACAGTTGACTGGAGGGAACCCGTCTGCTGCCCTTGCATGAATTCCCATGTGAAGCTAACTTGGAAGATGCCAGTTCTTCTCCAAGCAGCTTGGACCTCGCTGCAGAAGTCTCTCTGCTTTGAGAAAATAAAAACTGTCCAGGAAGGCTTTGGGGGACTTGAGTTGCAAGCTGTTACCATATGAGGGTGCCATGAGACTGCAGCTGCCTCCTGTTCCACTCAACACACTACAGGAGGCTTTCCAGGGCTCGCAAAAGACAATGTGGGGTGGTCTGGCCAAACCAAAGGAAAGTAGCCAGGCTGTGATCTAGAGTAAGGAAAGCGAAGAGAGATACACATGGGACCTGGTAGAAATAAAGGTTTTATGGCATTGGTAGAGGATGTTTACGTTGGGTTCCGCTTTCCTGTGTTGGCCTATTGCTGAAGCAGCTGATTGGGGATACTAGGAACCACACTCATCTGAAAATCTCAGTTACAGCCACTGTCACATGTCTGCAAACATCCTCTAGCCCATGTATTGAGTATGAAATGTGTAGGTATGAGATGTAAGATGGGATTCCCCCAACCGTGGAACTCCCCCACTGTAAATGTAGGTGACTCAGGACAAGCAGGATGATATCCCAAAATATGCTAGATGAGTTAAAAGGAATCAGGAGAGTCTCACACAGATAGTGACATTTGTCCTCATCAAAAGAAGAAGTGGGAAGGGCTCAAGCAGAAGTGTCACATTTGGCATGACCAAAACCATGGACAAAAGGCAGAAGGGGTCTGGGAAACAAAAGGATGGTAGGGTGAGGGAAAGATGGGCATAGAAGCTAGGAGGGGACTTTGTTGGGCCTGAGGAACTTTTGTCTTCAAATGACTCTTGTTCCATTTGAAAATGATAGGAGGGGTTGGAGAGATGGCTCAGAGGTTGAGAGCACTGGCTGCTCTTGCAAAGACCTGAGTTTGGTTCCCAGCACCACATGGCAGCTAACAACCATCCGTAACTTAATTTCCAGGGGATCTGATGCCCTCTTCTGGCCTCCTCAGGCATTGCATGCACAGGTACACTTACATACATGTAGGCAAAACACTCATACACATAAAATTTAAAGTGTGTGTGTGTGTGTGTGTGTGTATGTGTGTGTGTGAAAAGCTAGGGATGAAGCTTAGTTGGTAGAGTACTTGCTTAGCATGCACAAGGCCCTGGGTTTGAGCCCCTGCACCACATAAACCAGGCATAGACCTATAATCCCAGGACTCAGAAGGTGGAGGTAGGAGGATCAGAAGTTCAGGCTTATCCTCAGCTACATAGAGAGTTGGAGACCAACCTGGGCTACAGTAATAATTATTATTATTTTCCTTTTATCCCAGAATCCCCCATATTATCCCTTGAACCTGCTGTGGTCCTGTGCAACTATTTTCTAATCACTATTTTATTTTATTTTTAGAGACAGGATCTCAAGTAGCCCAGTCTGGCCTTGAACTCTGACCATGTAGCTGATAGTGACTTTAACATACTGTTGCTCCTGCCTCCACCTCCAAGTGCTGGGATTGTAGGCCTGTACCACCACAGCCAGCTAGACTTATTCTCTAGAAGCGATGACTGTTTACAGCTTGGAATATAGACCCTCCCATGTCTTCTCTGAATATGTGAACACACACAGTGGCATATTATGACTTGCTTTCTTCACTTAGTATAGCAAGGATATCTTTTCACAGCAGCTCATTTAACTCTAACTCATTCATTTTAAAATATTGCTGCCTGTAGTACCAGCACTTGGGAGGCGGAGGCAAGAGGATTCCTAGTTAGGAGCTAGTCTGGGTCTGTCTCCAAAAAAAATTAAAACAATGGGGCTAGAGAGATGGCTCAGCAGTTAAGAGCACTTACTGCTCTTGCAGAGGACCCAGGTTGGGTTCCCGGGACCCACACAGTGGCTAACAACAATCTTTAACTACAGTTCTAGGGGATCCAACACCCTCTTCTGGCCTCCATAGGCACTGTACACATGTGGTGAACCTCATACACATAAAATTCAAATAAAAATAAAGGTTTTCCTTCCTGTCTTCTCTCCACTTTTCCTTCCTGACAGGATCTTGCTATATAGCCCAGGTTGGCCTCCAACTCTCAATCCTGCCTTCCCAGCCCTGTACTGGGTCACAGGCATGCACTACTTCCTGTATGTCATAGTACAGTTAGATCCAATTTATGTTTTTCCCAGTTTTGTGGCACATTTTGTAACAAGCCATACTACACGAAGTTCTGTACTCCAGAACCTCCTACATTTGTTTGTCCACATTTAATTGTAACTTCAGTAATTGAAGGTCAAGGCAGAAGAATCAAGGCCAGAACCCACAGGGGAGGGGCAGGAAGGGCTGGAAGATCACTCAGTGGTTAAGGTCTTAATGCTGTTGCAGAGTATCCAAGTTCAGTTCCAAGTATCCACACCAGACAGCTCACAGCCTCCTGTAACTCAAGCTCCAGGGGATCTGATGCCCTCTTCTGGCCTCCAGGCACACCTGTGTACATGCAGCATACACACAACTATATACGCATACACATAAGATAGCTTTAAAAAAATTTATTTTTATTTATTTTATGTTTATGAGTGTATTCCCTGCATGTATGGAAGTGCACCTGTGTTCTGCAGTACCACAGAGGTCAGAAGAGGGCATCAGATCCCCTGGAACTGGAGTTACAGTTGTTAGCCACCACGTGGGACTTGAACCCTGGTCCTCTGAAAGAACAGCCAGTGCTCTTAACTACGGAGCCATCTCTCTAGTCTCAAATAAATTAATTTTTGAAAGTCTGACCAGTTAAGTGGAGTCCTAGGATATTGTTTGTTCTGTTCTTATTTGTTTGAATAAATAAATATTTATTCAATATTTCCTGGATTTCCTACTTCCACCTTCCAAATGCTGGGATTATAGATGTGCATCACCACTTCTGGTTAGAGTTTGGTTTGTAAGTGAATACAAATTGGGGTTCTCTGGGTCAGGCCAAGATCAGAAACAGATAGGAATTAGCCCTGTCCTTAAAGGCTGAAGACCCTGGAGTTTGTGGTGTCATTAGCCTTCCAGAGGCCTCAGGCTTCCTCCTGGACACTCATCCTGGGCAGGCACTATTTCCCACTATCCAGAGAGGCAGGGAAGTGGGAGCAGGGTGACAAGAGCCCCCCCCCCCCCCAGCCCTCTCTCCTGAGGCTGTATCTGGAGATGGACTGCAGAGGGAGCCCTCCAGGCCAGCTGAGCATCAACAGTCCTGAACAGCTCAAGGAACCCCAAAGAGGAGAGTTACAGACTCCTGCAAACGCCTTTCCTGGTCTCTCCCATCTCTGCAGCTCAAAGTCTGGGCTGCCGTGTAGGTAAGGACCCCAGGTAAACCAAGGCACCAGCCTGCTTCCCTACAGCTCTCAGGCTTCTTCCTACTAACCACTGCTCCACCCACAGGCCTCTACTCTGGGGTCCGACATGGCTCTGGTCATGTTGTGTCCAATCAAAAGTCCTCTGTCCTCCACCAGGTATACTGGACCCCTCCCTTCTCTGTTGACCTTGAGTGGCAGCGCCCTTCTGCCCTCCACTCCCATGGCTCACAAGTTCTTCGAGTCCTGAGCAGTCCCTCTTCCATCCTGCCCACATTCTCTCACTCTGCAAGCTCTGTGGTTCTCGGCTTGAATCTCTCCAGATCACTTTTTCTTCAAGGCAACTGCTTTGCTTTGTCTGGGCTCTAGCCTACCTCCATGTGCCAGAGACCAGCCCTATCTCCCTCTACCCCCACCTCCACCTGCTAACGCACAGTACAGGTCTCCATACACGGTGTCACAGAGGACAGGGGCAGTGGTGGGTGATGAGAGTGGTTGTGACAATGAAGGGTACTCCTGAGGGAAAAGCTGTCCTTGAGTTTTTCCACCGTGTTTCTTTTTCATTATTATTACTCTGTGTGTGTGTGTGTGTGTGTGTGTGTGTGTGTGTGTGTGTGTCCACATACATGCACAATTTTGGGATGGTCATAGGACAACCTTCAGTGTTATTCCTCACCTTCCCACCTTGTTTGAGCCAGGCTCTCCTCATTGATGATGAGCTAGGTTGGCTGGCATTCCAGCTCCTGGACAGTCTCCCCTGTTTCTGTTGCCTCCCAGCTCTGTAGGGACACTCTGGGATTCCAGATCCTAGAACTACTGCATCTGACTTTTGTGTGGTTTCTGTGAATTGTAACTCTGGTCTTCAGGCTTTTACAGCAAACACTTTTACCCACTGACCTATCTACCCAGACCCTAGATTTATAGTCTTGAAAATATATTGTGGAGATGATTTCATTTATTCTCTTTGAATTCTACTTTATATTATAAAGATAAAGATGACTCTCTGTGTGTGTGTGTGTGTGTGTGTGTGTGTGTGTGTGTGTGTGTCCACATACATGCCTCAATGTGCTTGTAGCGGTCAGAGGACAGTTTGTAAGCACTGGTTCTCTCCTTCTACCATATGGGCTCTGGGGACTGAACTCAAGTCATCGGGCTTGGCAGTACCTGCTTAGCCATCTTTCCAGGCTCCTCTCCATCCTGTTTCTGAAAAAACAACAAGGACTTGTTGGATGCTTTTCAACTAAAACAGGTTAACTGAGTGCCAACCTTGGTCCGTCTTTGAATAACAGATAAGTTAGTTGACTTGAAAACTTTTCATTTGTATGTCCATGTCACCTGGCTTTTCCCTGCCTTCTACCCACAGCCCTGCCCAGCTGGCAGAAGAAGGTCAGCAGAGCTGCTGATAAGAGGGGTATAAAGAGGCCTTGACTCACGGCAAGGGGCAGTGGTCTGCTCTCTCAGCAACATGCTGTACTTCCTGCTTTTCGCCGCTCTGGTTCTGTATGGTAAGTGGATCTTTTTGCCTGAGTTCTGTAGCGGGGGAGATTTGAGCGGGAGAGTTGGAAAGTCCTTAAGCCAAATCAGCTCTCTAGCCCAGAGGAGGGTGGGCCACTCTACCTGGGAGTCTAGCAAAGCCTTTATTCTCCTGGAGTGAAAGACAGGAAAGATTGCAGGCCACTGACTGGCCATGCAAGGCCCTGTAGGGTGGCAGACACCTAAGCCATGAAGCAGAAAAAAGCCCCTCCCAGGGTCCCCCAACAGCACTCTTGGCTGGAGGACACCGTTATCAGGTGCCTGGCTGAATGTCTCTGGCCCCTGGAAAATCCTGCCAAAGCATGGGGAGGGGTTCCCGCAAGTTGCCAGGTGACCTTTAGCCAGGGAAGACCACAAGGCACCTCTGGGACCCTGGCCTGGTGGCTTTGGATAGGTCTTTCAAAGCAAACCAGAGTTCCCAGACACCCTGAAGAAGCAGAAGGTTCTCAGAGCCTCTGCTTTCAAAAGGGGTGCAAAGTCCTCAGAGCAGGGGCCCTCATGTGTTAAGGGAGAGCTGTGAATTTGCAGCCAAATCTAATAGTCCTCAAAGTGCAGCCACTGTTCCCCACCCCCATCCGAGCTGACCCCATCTTAGTCATCATTCACTTTTCTTCTGCCCCACAAAGGACACAGTACCCAGGACTTTCCAGAAACTAATGCACGGGTGGTTGGAGGTACCGAGGCCCAAAGGAACTCTTGGCCTTCTCAGGTGGGTGTATCCCCCTCCCAGACCAAGCTGTTACCCAGACAAGAGGTATTGTATACTCACAAAAAGGATTCTGTATTAAGCTCACCTGCTGTCTAGATTCGAGATTCTAAAGTTGGGCAGGACCATACTGAGGTATGATTCTAAACGCAAAAGGCTTGAAGGAGTGTATTTATAACCAACCAGTCTTCCAGGCATATACCCGTGTGTGTGTGTGTGTGTGTGTGTGTGTGTATATGTTTGTGCGTGTGTGTGTCTGTGTCCACCTGTGTATGTGTGCGTGTGTGTCCATGTGTGTGACAGAGAGAGAGAGAGAGAGAGAGAGAGAGAGAGAGAGAGAGCCAGCCACAGTACACATGTGGAGGCCAGAGGACAACTTCTTGCCTTCCACTGTTTGAGACGGGGTCTCTCTTGTTTCTGTCATTGTACTGCATACTCCAGCCTAGTGCCCACTCCACCGCCCATCCCCTCACCCATCCGCCAAGCTTCCAGGTGATTCTCCTGTCTCCTCTTCCCACCTTGCCATAGGAGTGCTGGGACTATGCATACTACCATATCCAAGTTTTCACCTGGGTTCTGAGGATCCAAACTCGGGTTGTCAGGCTTACACAATTAGTGATTTTATGATCTCCCCTCACAAAACCTTTTTCTTCTTTTGTAGTGGAAGGGACTGAACCCAGGACCTTGCACATGCTAGGCAAGAGTTACAGCCTCCCCTGACAAAGTACCTTTATTCTTTCTGTGATGTATCTAAGGACTATGTGCAATATGGACACAAGGGGCTCCACATACCTCGAAACACACATGCATTCAGCACTCCACAGTGTATGTCCCATATGAGTAGACACATAGAGCATGTTCATAACTGAGCAGCTGTGCCCTGATTTCAGCAAATTTGAGTGTGGAGAGCTGGCACACTAGCTGGTGAACAGCCACACTTCGAGAGGAATCCCTGCGAAAGCAATTAAATTTAATTTACAGCAGTTTGAGCCCCAATTTTTAGGATGAGCTCTATTGTGTAGTATGAGGAAACAGAAACTGATAAAAATGAATATTCCTTTGGCATTTCTAAGTATTCCCTGAGGTGGGAAGCCAAGTTATTTCTCAAAAGCATTGAGGAGAGAACTCAGGACCTAAGTTGACGGGGCTTGGTGAAGGAGCAATGCCTTCGCTATACCTCCTTTCAAAGAGGGAAGGGAAATAAAAGGCCCTGGGTTCTAGACTCACAACCACAACTTAGTGTAAAGATGCCTAAGGTGCTGTGTGTGCCCAGGTGCACAACAAACGTCACCAACAAGCGACACTCTTTCCAGCTGACCCCAGAAACACCTATAGACATCTCAGCCATGACCTCTTCATTGCCACTATCAGTCATTTGACAGCAGTTGGCAGGTCATGGGAAACTTGTTGCTATCCCTAGTCAGAAAGTTGGAGAATGTTTTGAAGGTTGTCAGGAGTTTTAGGAGGTGACTCGTTTGGGACAGAGCCTTTTGGGAATACCAACATAGCCCTGCTTTTCTTTCTCCCTCTTGTCTAGATTTCCCTCCAGTACCTGTCTGGAGGGTCATGGTACCACACCTGTGGGGGGACCCTCATCCGGCGCAACTGGGTGATGACAGCTGCTCACTGCGTGGACAGGTATGTAAAACAAAGACCAGGTTTTCTGAACCCTGAGAGGGAAACAACTGGCCCGTCTTGAAGAATATATAATTTTGACTTTTCAGTCAAAGCCTGCTCATGTTTTGCAGGCAGAATAGAGAATGGACAAGCTTTAGAGTCAGGCAGGCTCAGATGCAAATCTCCCTGCACCATCTTCTGACCATGTAGCCTTGGGCAACTTCACTTCTGTTTTTCCATTCTCTCACCTGCCTCTGAAGTGGGATAATAATACCTACTTAGAGCTGTTCTGATGACTGAATAAATACTCAAATATCTATTCAGCATCAGGCTACTGGCTATTTTCTGTACTTGTAAAAAGTGATAGTTTCCACTTTAATTTTTAGAATGTGTGCGTGTACTTGTGTGTGAGAGATGAGGCAAAGGGGTGGCACATGCTTTGATGCACATGTGGAGGTCAGAGGACAACTTTGTGGAGTTGGATCTTTCCTCTCACCTTTACGTGAGTTCTGGAGATTGAACTCAGGCCACCATGCTTAGGAAGCAAGCACCTTTACCCACTCTGCCATCTCACCAGCCCAGTTCCCACATTTGAACATATATCAGAATTACATGGAAGGCACTAGTGAGTAGCCCATTCGGCAGAGTTTCTGATATGGCAAGTCTAGGATGAAGCCTGATGGTTACATTTCTGTGGGGGATAGTGTGCATGTGTGTGCATGTGTGTGCTAGAGTGCTCACCTGTGTGGGCACTTGTGGAGGCCACAGGTCAGGATCCAGATACCTTCATCGATTACATCTCTTTTATTTTTTTGAAACAAGGTATCTCACTGAACCTGGAACTTACTAATTCAGCTAGACCATCTGGCCAGTGAGGCCCTGGATCTGCCTGCCTCTGACTCCCAGAGCTGGAGTTATAGGCACATTTTTTTGTTAAATGTCAGTGCTGGGGGTCTGAATTCACATCCTCATGATTACTTTAGTCACTGAGCCATCTCCACAGCACCTGATGATTGCATTTCTCTTTTATTTGTTTATTTTATGTTTGAATGTTTTGCCTGTATGTACAGAAGTGTACCATGTGTGTGCAGTGCCCACAGAGGCCAGAAGAGGGCGTTGGATCCTCCGGAACTGGAGTTACAGATGGTTGTTAGCCATCATATAGGTGCTGGGAACTGAACCTGGGCCCTCTACTATAGCAGCCAGTACTCTTACCAGCTAAGCCACCTCTCCAGCCCCTGATGGTTGCATTTCAAACAGGTTTTCAAGTGATGCTAATGATCCTGATCCAGGACCACACTTTAGGAGTTACTGCAGGTCTAAGCTTTGTATAATAATGCATATCTGTAATCCCAGAACAGGAGCCTGAGGCAGGAGGGTTGAGAGTTTGAGGCTAGCCTGGGTTACATAATGAGTCTCTCGCTCTTTCTCCCTCTCTCTCTAAATGTGTGTGTGTGTGTGTGTGTGTGTGTGTGTGTGTGTTTATATATTTCCTCATAGTCCCTCTGAAGCTGGAAGCTATCATATCCTAACACTTACTACACCTCTCCCAGGCTGTGATAGTCAACCTGCAATCTTAGCTTAATTAACTGAAAATGCAGTTGATTGATCCTAGCTTTTCACTGCCACAAGTTGGTAACTGGGGGAATGAAATAGTTTATGTCCTCATCTTTGAGGATCTTCCCTCCTCCATCTCAGCCTGGGTGAGATAAGCTGGGTTCCTGTCCTAACAATAAGCTAGAAGACCCTTTTTCCAACTTTCTTCTGAGGGGGAAAGGAGAGTCCCCTGGATGACACAGGGCTTCCTTTTCTCACTCCAGCCAAATGACCTTTCGTGTGGTCATCGGAGACCACAACCTGAGCCAGAACGATGGCACCGAGCAGTACGTGAGTGTGCAGAAGATCGTGGTGCACCCCAACTGGAACAAAAATAACGTGGCTGCAGGGTAGGCACAAGGCCCAGCTGGCCCTGGGCTGGGACATTGGGGGAGTGGCACCTGACACCAATATGGGCTCAGTATCCACCCCCTACACACACACATACACACACACACACACACACACACACACACACACACAGGGTATTGCATCACCTGAAACTCAGTCTGTGGCTTTGGCAGTCTGGCCTTTGGCTGAGGAGTGGGTTGGGCCTGAGAGGGGGCATCCAGTCTCCAAAGGGGGCGCAGGGGCGGGGCACACACGATGTGCTGGGTCATCATCCAGGACAGGAAACATGCAGATCTGGGAGGGCTGGAGACTGCCTGAAGCTCTTTAGGCTTTCTCTCATGTAAGTGGATTTGCATGGCTGAGCTATATGAAGGATTTTTTCTCTGTTTAAATGTTTTTGAGTTTGCTTTTGTTTTTTTAAAGGGAAGGTTGGTTTGGCTTTGGGTTTTTATTATTTAAAAAAAATTTGTGTATGAGTGTATTGCCTTCATGTGGGTAGGTACACTCACGTAGTACAATGCCCAAGGAGGTCAAAAGAGGGTGTCAGATCCCCTGGAAGTGCAGTTACAGACAGTTGTTAGCTGCCATGTGGGTGCTGGGAATCAAACCTGGGTCCCCTGCAAGAGCAACCAGTGCTCTTCCCCACTGAGCCATCTCTCTAGCCCCTGGCTTTGGTTTTTTGAAATATTTTATTTAGTCTTATTTTATGTGTATGCGTATTTTGTCTGAATGTATGTAAGTATACCATGTGCATGCCCTCAGAGGCCAGAAGATGGTGTCAGATCCCTGGAACTGGAGTTACAGGTGGCTGTTAGTCACCACGTGGTGCTGGGAACCATATTCAGATCCTCTGCAAAAGCAGCCAGTGTTCTTAACCCCTAGTTTGGGTGTCAAACTCACTATGTAGCTGTGGATGACCTGCCTCCCAAGTGCTGGGATTATGGAAGTGCACTACCATACCCAGTATTCCATTCGTTCTTTATTTACTTTATGGAACACACTGTCTGTACCAGATAATTTGGTTTGGTTTGGCTTGGGTTTGCTGTTGAAGAAAGGAACCCAGGGCCTTGAACATACCAGCAAGCAACTCTACCACTAAGCCATATCCCCAGCCCCAGAGTCGTAAACTTTTGGAAAGGTAATCATTAAAATGGTAGTCAGGGAGCTTCCCCTAAGAAGCTGTGTAATTCCATAACTTGGAAGGTGAAGGTGGGATATCTGGAGTTCAAGGTCACTTACAGCTACACAGCTAGATTGAGGACAGCCTGGGCTACATGAGACTGTCTCAAAAACACCTCCTGTCCAAATAAAATTGATCAAAATAAAAAGTGGAACAAGTGCAGGACTTATAACTCGGAGGTAAAGCGCTTGTCTGGGTATGTAGGACCTGGGTTCAATCCCCAGCATTGGGAAGGAAGAAGAAAAAGGATGACCAGGGGCTGGAGCTGGTGATGTGGGCATGCGATGGCAGGTACTCAGGAGCTTAGACCAAGGATCACAAATTCAAGCCTAACCTGGTCAAGAGTGAGTTCAAGGCCAGCTTGGGAAACTTTCATAAACACTGTCTCAAAGTGAAAAAAAAAGTTATTTTATTTATTTTATTTATATTTTATGTTTATGAGTGTTTTCACGGCATGCATATAAGCACAAACACTATGTGTGTACAATACCCTCAAGGGCCAGAAGAGGACGTTGGATCCCTTGAGGTTCCAGATTGTTAGCTGCTATGTAGGTGCTGGGAACTGAACCTGGGTCCTCTGAAAGAACAGCAAGTTCTCTTAGCCACTGAGCCATTTCTCTAGCTCTCAAAAAAAAATCTTGAGAGGGTGGAATGGAAGCTGAGTGTGGTGACAAATACTTGTAATTCTAATTCTAGCACTTGGGATGTGGAGGCAGGAGAATCAGGAGTTTAAGGTGAACCTGGACTATATGAGACTGTCTCAAAAAAAAAAACAAAAAACAAAAAAAGGGGGTTGGTACTGGGGATTTAGGTCAGTGGTAGATCACTTATTTAGCATACATGAGGTTCAGGTCCAACACCTAGTACTGATAAATGAATGGCTAGATGAATAAATAAATAAATAAATAAATAAATAAATATGGTCAGAGCTGGAGGTAAAGCTCAGTCATAGAACACTTACCCAGCAGGTGAGAGACCATGAGTTTGATTCCCCCAACAAAAGAAAAAGAAAAAGGTGGCCCATTCTGTATGGTGCGGAGAGACTGGCTTCAAGTAATTGCTATATTTGTGCCAGATATTTCAGAATCGTGCAGACCTTCTGTTTTGAGAACACAGTGTCCACAATCACACACCTGCTCTTTTCTAGTTCATCCTCCACTGCCCTAGGTTGGCTAGAGCAGAGCCAGGCTGCAACTCCAACATTCTACCAGCAGATGCTACTGTTAAACATCTAATGTCCTACAGCTCAACCGCTTAGCACATTTGCCCACTCCTTTAAGATGTATGTTTGTTTTGGGGTCTGGAGAGATCGCTCAGAGGTTAAGAGCACTGGCTGTTCTTGCAGAGGACCTGGGTTCAAGTCCCATCACCCACATGGTGGCTGGCAACTATCTGTAACTCCAGTTCCAGAGGATCCAACACCCTTGTCTGTCCTCTGTGGGCACAAGCACGACATGGGTGCACTTACACACATTCAGGAATAAGACTCAGACATATAAAATAAAAAAATAAATAGAATTTTTACAAAGATTTGTTTGTTTTTAATCATATGCATGTGTGTGTCTACATGTTAGTATGTGCACATGTTTGAGTACCTGCAGAGGCCAGAAGAGGGTGCCAGATCCCTTGGAGTTGGAGTTACAGGCAAGTGTGAGCTGCCCGATGTGGGTGCTGGGCATTCAGTTCTGGTCCTCTGGAAGAGCAGCTGAGCCATCTCTAGCGCCTGTCCCCACCTCTGTAGTGGTTAGATTCCAACTTGGGAGCATGTGCGGGGTTAGTGAGGGCCGGTGCCTATGCTGACCTGAGGGAAGAGGTGCTTGCATGAGTGAACCATCTCTTCTTTTTCTCCTGCAGCTACGACATCGCCCTGCTGCGCCTGGCCCAAAGTGTTACCCTCAATAACTACATCCAGCTGGGTGTTCTGCCCCAGGAGGGAACCATCCTGCCTAACAACACTCCCTGCTACATCACTGGCTGGGGCAAAACCAAGAGTAAGTCATCTATATCCCCATCATCTGCTACTAGGATCCTGAGGAGGTTGCTGAGCTTCTACGGCATCTTTTTCTGCATTCTTAGGCATTGGAAAGGTGGAAAGGCTATGAATAGAGAGGGTTAGGACGGGCAGAAACATTAATCATGACCCAGAGGCCCACCAGCCACCAGGCAGGATTCTAGTGTTGAGGTTCCAGAATGGGAGAGGGTTGCTGTAACACGATCCTCAGAAATAACATGATACAAAAGCTTTGAAAAGTCAAAAGAGCCAGACAAAGAAAAGTTGTAGAAATGGAAATAAGAGCCTGGCATGGTGGTGCATGCCTTTAATCCCAGTCCTCTGGGAAGCAGAGGCAGGTGGATCTCTGTGAGTTCCAGGCAAGCCTGGTCTACATAGTAAGTTCCAGGCCAGACAGGGCTTCATAGTGAAATTGTCTCAAAACAAACAAGCAAACAAATAAAAAGAAATAGAAATAAGAGCTAGCTACTTGAGAGGCTAATGAAGGAGGACTGAGAGTTTGAGACCAGCCTGGACAACATAATGAGACCTCATTTCAGGAAGGGAGAGAGGGAGGGAGGGAGGTACACAATGCCTCTTCTGTTTTGCTGCTTCGTGTGGCTTCCAAGAGTAAGGCACAGAACAGGCAGACTGTTGCCAGCAAGTCATTCTATGACTTAACTAAGATATCCATGGGTGGAACAGTCAGAAATAGGACTAGTGTTTAGCACCTGGGAGTTGTGAGCAAGGGTGCTTACCCATGGCTACCACATACAGCAGAGAGAGGAGATCCCTGACCACAACAAGCAAAGAGGCACTCCATCAGAGTTCAGATCACCAGATCTTGAGAAGGTTTGGTGAGATTTGGAAGGATTCTTCCCTGCGCTGATTTGCAATGCTATGTCCTGTTCAGCCAATGGGCAGGTGTCACAGACCCTGCAGCAGGCTTACCTGCCCACTGTGGACTACAGCATCTGCTCCAGCTCTTCCTACTGGGGTTCCACAGTGAAGAGGACCATGGTGTGTGCTGGTGGAGACGGAGTTCGGTCTGGATGCCAGGTGAACACATGCAGGTGTCAGGTCCCCCTCCCCCATGCATCCTTTTGATGCTCCATCCTTTGCTTACCTGTTCTTGCACCCATGCACAGACTCCACTTTCTACTTGGTCATAGTATCTCATGGATGAAAGGAGCCTGAAAATGTCTTGTTTAATATCCCTACCTCAAAAGCTTGTGTGTGGTCCAACATTTGTGTGTTAATGGATGTATGTGTACTTTAGATGTTGCCTGTGATCTAAATATTTTATATATTTTATTTATTTTATATGTATGATTGCATTGCCTGCATGTATATAAGTGCACCGGTGTCATGCAATGCCCAAGGAGGTCAGAAGAGGGCATTGGATTCCTCTGGAACTGGAGTTACAGATACCATGTAGGTGCTAGGAACTGAACCCAGATCCTCTGCAGGAACAGCCAGTGCTTTTAACCACTGAGTCATCTCTCCAGCCCTGATCTAATTTTTTTTTTATGGTATCCAGGGTTCTGGGCCTGTGGGGATGATTGTAACTAACTGTACTGAAGGTAGCTCCCAATCCCATCAATCCCAACTTGTCTTGTAGTTCCTCACTGCTGCCCTTTACTCTGGTGTTTATAGCAGTAGGTACAGGTAAGTATGGCAGGAGAACGCATATTAACCAATTTCATAATCACTTTTATACAATACACAGAATTCTCTATTTAGATAATATCAGTCATCAGTGAACTGTATTATAGATTGCTCAATGCAGTTCAACCAATATATATGTGTGTCTTCTCTCTGCCAGGCACTGTACTAGGTGCTGCCATACAGCAGTGACAAGTGGAGCAGACATACAGTGGGTGTGTAGTCCAGTATGACTAAATGTTATGATGAAGACATGCAGAGAGTGAAATGGGAGTCCAAGGACACTTACAAGCTCTGCCTGCTGGAAGTCAGAACCTTCCCCAGGATAGTGGAATCTGCAGGAAGTCCTGAAAATTAAATAGAAGTAAACCAGGTGAAAAGGGAAAAGGCATTTGAAGGAAGGGAACAGCATGGACAAAGACATCCAACCAAGCCAGGCGTGGTGGCACATGCCTTTAATCCCAGCACTCAGGAGGCAGAGGCAGGCAGATCTCTGTGAGTTCAAGGCCAGCCTGGTCTCCATTAGTGAATCCAGGCCAGCTGTGGCTACAGGGAAACCTTGTCTCAAAAACACCAAAAAAAAAAAAAAAAAAAGACATCCAGCCAAGAAACAACTAAGAACACTCAAACAGTTATTGGTCATCCCCTACAGCTAGAACAGAGCAGAGGTTAGAGGCTCAATACCCAGCCTGCTGTCTGGTTTTGTGTGGCTTATGAGCTATTGGCTATTACATTTTGAAATGGTTAGGGGAAAAAAAACCCAAAAGAATATTACAGTTGCCAGGCATGGCGGTACATGCTGGATGCCCTGGGTTCCATCTTCAGTATTACATAAATCAGACTGGTGGGCCATGCCTGTAATCAGCACTGGGGAATAGAGGAAGGAAGCTCAGAGGTTCAAGGTCATTTGGGCTATGTAGCAAGTTCAAAGACAATCTGGGATATGAGACCCTATCAGAGAGAGAGAGAGAGAGAGAGAGAGAGAGAGAGAGAGAAGAGAGAGAGGAGCTTGGGAGAAAAGAACATATGAGCTCTCACCCTAGGGAAAAGTTGTAGCATGAGAAGAGAGCAGGGGTTGGGGAAAAACTGTAAGAACATAAACGCTTGACTGATTCAGGGATAGGTCAGGACCAAGAAAGGGTTGTAGACATTCCAGAACAGGCAGTAAGGACGTATAAAATCCTGGGAAGTTCTGACAGGTCATCACATAGTATACAATGCAATGGAAGCCCCGGTGGGTAAGAGCCAAAAGTGGCTATTTTGGCAACTGGTCAACCACTATTAGTTATATCAAGAGTGTCTGAAGGGTAGAAAAGGCAGAAGCACAGCGGACAGGTAAGGGACAAAGGGACAGTCTTCAGGAACCATAGATTACTCTTCAAGAACTTCATGTGAAGGAAAGAAACAGAAAGTCTTCAGAGACAGCAAGTCATAGAAGGGATGGACCTTTTTTAAAAATTATTTTTATTTTATGTGTGTGCATGTATTGCCTGCATGTGTGTAAGTGTACCCATGTTGTCAAGTACCTGTGGAAGACAGAAGTCCGATCCCCTGGAACTGGAGTTATATAGATGGTCATTAGCTGCCATGTGGGTGCTGAGATTCGAACCCGGCTCTTCTACAAGAACAGCTAGTGCTCTTAACCACTGACTCATCTCTCTAGCCCCAGGATCAGCCTTTTAACATGGAAGAAAATCAAGAGCAATAACAGGCAGAGAGTAAGGTATGCTGGACAGTAAGAGAGAGGGAATAACGGATTGCCCAAGATCCCAGTAGGGAAGATGAGATGGAAGGAAGAGCACAGGTAGAGATGGCTTTAATTTGGCTTCAATTTATTTATTTTTATTTTATGTGTATGAGCGTTTTGCGTGCATATATGTCAGTGCACCACGTGTGTGCAATGCCCACAAAGGTCAGAAGAGGGCATGGGATTCCCCTGGAATTGGAGTTGGGGATGGTTGTTAGCGTCTGTGTGTGTGTGTGTGTGTGTGTGTGTGTGCGTGCGTGCGTGCGTGCGTGCGTGCGTGTGTGTGTGTGTGTGTGTGTACTGGGAATTAAACCTGGGTCCTCTGCAAGAGCAGCCAGTGCTCTTAATGACTGAGCCCTCTCTCCAGCCCCTATGCTGGCTTTAACAAGGTAGAGAGGTATTAGATGGGCTCTGGACATGAACAAATTTGCAGCCTGGGCAGCTGCAAGTTGCCAAGTGTTCTCTATTACTGCTTCTGGTTACTGATGAACCAGGAAAGAGTCAACTTGACTGTAGAAAGTGAAGGAGCAAAGATTGCATGTGTCTGGAGGTGAACAGGAGGATTGTCCTCCAGGATGACGAGGTTGGACAGCAGACCCTGAGTTGGCAGGTGTATGCTTCAGCCCGTCTTTCTCACACACCCAGTTGTAGGAAATACTGGGCTTTCCTACTTGACTGTAGTCATAGGACAAGATTGCAGTTTGATTGCAAGGTCCAAACTATGTGGAGGAGGAAGAAAAGTTAGCAGAAGGCTGGTACGCTGGTTTGAATAACATAATAAAAGGAATTAAAGGGATTTTTGTGAACCCAAAGAACTACAGGAAACAAGCAATGCATCCCAATTTTCCTGTGATTTCCCGTTATTAAAACTTAAACATGATGGGGCTGAGGTGGTAACTCAGTTGGTACAAGTACCTGCCTAGCATACATAAAACCCTGAAGTCAATCCTCAGTGCCCCATAAACCAGGTGTGTTGGTACACACCTGTAATCCCAGCACTTAAAAGTTAGAGGCAAGAGGTCATTCTCATCTCATCCATATGAATTTGAGGCCAGCCAGAACTATATGAGACTGTCTTTTTAAAAAGGTAGAAGTTGGGGGGGGGGTCCTGGATGGATAGCTCAGATCTCTTGCAGAGGACCTGGGTTTGGTTCTCAGCACTCACAAGGTAGCTGTCTCTAACTCCAGTTCTGGCCTTCTCAAGCACTACACATACATGGTGCATTTACATGCAGGCAAAACATTCATACACATAAAATAATTTGGTGGGGGGTGTTGTTTGAGACAGAGTCTCCTTGTAGCTCCAACTGGCCTGGAACTAGATTTGTAGACCAGGCTGGCCTCAAATGTACAGAGATCCACCTGTCTCTGCCTCTGGAGTGCTGGTATTAAATGTGCACGCTACCACGCCCAGCAAATTAATTAAAATTTAAAACATAAAATAAAAAATAGCCAGGTATTAAAGGCACATGCCTTTAATCCTAGCAGAGGCAGATGAATCTCTGGGAATTCAAGGCCAGCCTGGTCTACATATCCAGTTCCAGGCCAGCCAGGGTTATATAGTGAGACCCTGTCTCATTAAAAACGAACAAACAAAAAACCTAACTATAAAAAAAAGTACATTGAAGACTGGGAGTGGTAGTGCACACCTGTCAACCCAAAACTCTGGAGGCTGATCAGGGAGGATCATGAGTTTGAGGCCAGCCTGGGCTACACAGTGAGATCAAGGACAGCCAGGACTATAGAATGAAAGCCTGTCCCTGTCTCAAAACAAACCCCCAAATAATTAAAACAAAAAACAAAACAAAACCTTAAGAGACAGAAACTAACACAAATTGCAGCATCTTCTAGGCCCGCAGCAGTCAGCTACCCCTGCCACTCCTAAAGCTCTGCCTTCCTGAGTTAATTAGCATCCCTCTGCTCTTGCAAGGCCTTGTATTCTGAAGACCTGGGGTATTTTTCTGCTAGCTGTCACTCCAAACTGAGAATTCTTTGAAACAAAATGCATCCCTGAATCCTTTCTCATTGGAATTCCCAATAGTGGGCCTTTGAGGTTTTCATAGTTCTAAGTGAGTCCCCTTCTCTGAGTGGGTTCACCAGACCTGTTCAGTCTCAGGTCATGCCAGCTAGGTTCTTCCCCACTTTTCTGTGGTGACCTGCCCTGCATCCTCAGCCACAGCCTCCATCTCCTCCAGCTACAACCACTTGTCAGATCAATTAGCAAAAAGCACTATACTTGCATACATTCAATTCTCTTCCATTCCTCTGTCTCTGAAATGCCCACCCCAAATCTGCTAATGTATGGGTAGGAAAGATTTAGGCTGTTTTGTTTGAGTATAGTAATCTGAAAATAACTTTTTCTGAGTAGTCGAGGTGGGTATAGCTGGTTCCTCTTTAAAGAATTATCTCTAATTTGATGGGGCTGGAGAGATGGCTCAGTGAATTTGAACTTTTGGTCACTTTCCCTAGTTCTTCTTTTTGTGTGTATCTCTGTATGCATTCATGTGTGTGTGTGTGTGTGTGTGTGTGTGTGTGTGTGTTTAAGCCAGAGGGCAACCTCTGGAGTCATTCTTCAGGAACTGCCCACTTTTTTAATTTTTAAATTTTAATCTAATTGTACTTATTTACGTATGTATGTATGTATGTATGTATGTATGTATGTGTGTACGTATGTACGTACTGAGACAGGATCTTACTACATAGCCCTGGCTAATGTGAAACTCACTATGTATACCAAGCTGGTCTTAAAACTCACAGAGATCCAGGCCGGGCGTGGTGGCGCACGCCTTTAATCCCAGCACTTGGGAGGCAGAGGCAGGCGGATCTTTGTGAGTTCAAGGCCAGCCTGGTCTACATAGTGAGTTCCAAGACAGCTGGGGCTACAGGGAGACCCTGTCTCAAAAAGCATAAAAAAACAAAAAAAAAAAAAAAAAACCTCACAGAGATCCATCTGCCTCTGCCTCCCAGAGCTAGGATTAAAGATGTGTGCCACCACACCCAGCTTAAAAAATAAATCTTAGGGGCTAGAGAGGTGACACACTGGTCAAAACTGTTCTTGCAGAGGACCTGGGTTTAGTTCCCCAGCACCCACATGGCGGCTTGTAATGGTAACTGCAGTTCTAGGCATTATTACCGTGCTCTCCTCTGGTCTCTGTGGCCATTGTGTCCATGTAGTGCACTTATATACATGCAGGCAAAACACTCGTACACATAAAAAATAAGTTTAAAAAGTTTTAAGACTTAAAAAATAAGGGACTGGAGAGATGGCTTAGCAGTTAAGAGCGCTGGCTGCTCTTGCAGAGGACCCACATTCAAGTCCCAGCACCCACATGGTGGCTAACAACTGTCCGTAACTCCAGTTCCAGGGGAATCCAACACCCTCTTCTGACCTTGGTGGGCATTTCATGACCTAAGTGTATTTACATACATACATGCAGGTACACTTACGCACATAAAATGAAAATAATAAATTAAAAAAAAATGTATATATATATATATATATATATTGCACTGCTACTTCTTTTTGTTTTGCTTTGCTTTGAGACAGAGTCTCCCTATAGCTCCAGTTGGCCTGGAACTGGCAATGTAGACCAGACTGGCCTCAGTCTCACAGAGATCTGCCTGCCTCTACCTCTGAGTGCTGGAACTAAAGGCATGTGCCACCATACCTGGCTTGTCACTCCATTTAGCTAGATCTTTACACATCTGTCTTCTGCATTCATGCCAGCATACCCATACCAACATGGCCTTTTCTCACGACCTCCTCAAATTCCTCGATGAATTTTGCTTGGATCAACACTCGGTACTCATCGATTTGTAAGTGAAGCGTGCGGTGTTCCAGCATTGCTGTTTCTTTCCAGTTTAACTCACTGTTGTCCTGTGAGTTAATAAACGTCTTTCTACATTGCTTACTACATAGTCAGCTCACCACTGATTCAGCCCCAAACTCTTTACTTCATGTTCTCCTGACCCCTAGTAGTCTGGGTCAACTTGGGTATATTTGTGGGCATTGTGAGGGAAACTTAGTGGGGTTTTTGGTTTGTTTGTATGATTATTTCTGGAAATTCCAAACATTTTGTTTTGCAAATGTTATTTTATTGAGGTTTGTTTGGTTTTGTTTCCTTTTTAGAATTTCTGTATTTACGTTTATAAACGTCTCCTGGTCTCGTCTATATTTTGTTTGCTCTGTTTTATGTTCTAATTCTTCCAAATTTGTATTTCTTGTATCAAATTACCTTTTCTTGTTTTTTTTCTGATTTTTTTTCCTGTCTCACTATGTAGCCCTGGCTGACTTGGAAATCACTGTTATAGACCAGGCTGGCCTTGAACTCACAGAGATCTACCTGTCTCTGCCTCCCAAGTGCTGGGATTAAAGCTGTGCACAATCTGTCCAGGCTGGTATGAGCTTGAACTTCAGATCCTCCTGCCTCCGCTTCACATACCTACTTTTATGGAATACTAGGGATCAAACCCAGAGCATACTTTGTTTTTTTGTTTGTTTGGTTTGAGTTGGGGGGTGTTGTTTTGTGTTGTTTGTTTTGTTTGTTTGACACTAGGCCTCCACAGCTGACCTGGAATTCACTATGTAGACCAGGCTGGCCTTTACCTTACAGAGATCAACCTGCCTCTGCAGGCACTCTACCAGCTAAGCTGAAACCAGCCCCATTAATCACATGTTGTTGCTTATTTTCTTCTGGTATAGTCTTTGTTTATCTGGTTGCGTGCTTGTTTGTTTGAAGATAGGATCTCAGGTAGGCCCAGGCTAGCCACCAATTCACTATGTAGCTGAGGTTGGCTTTGAATTCCTGATCCTCACGCCTCTGTATCCCAAGTGCTGGGATCATAGGCATGAGTACCAGCCCATGTAGTTTTGGTGGCCTTAACTTCTTTGTCTCTTTATTTTGTTCTTTATTTTGTGCAGTGCTGTAGATCAAACCTAGGACTTGACAGCCATCTGCAATCTGGGTGGAGGTTTTATTACTGTTTGGTTCTTTTGAGACAAGGATAGTCCTGTAGCCCAGGCTGTCCAGAACCTACTAGGTAACCTAGGCTTTCCTTGAATTCCTGATCCTCCTACTAAGGCCTCCCCAGTGCTGGGATTATAGGCATATACCACCACGCCCAGCCTGTTTGTTTTTATAGTCAAGGTTAATGTGAGGTGTTTGGTGATCCTTGAGCAAATTGCTTTTATTTCATTTAGTGTAGGTGGTAAAAAGCTGATTGGCAGAGCTGAGCCTTAGCTGACATTCTTCTTACGTGGACTTTTCTGGCAGATGATGTCTTATTCCTTTTGTTGTGAGACTTCTGACATCAGTGTCTTATTATCTTTCCTCTTGGCTGGTCAGATTTTCCAGAGAAGTACCTTTCTGTTTATACCTGGCATGGTGGGAGCTGAGTAAGAGTGTTGAGATCGTATTCTCTAAACCCAGGTTTGCTCGATGCTAAGCCGGTGCACTGAGCCACTCCCTCTTCACTGTTCTCCATCATTGCTCCAGCCAGTTTAGCGTGTGTTGCCTTTTCTACTCTGATTCCAAATTCTTGGTCTAATTAGACCATTGGTCTAAACGCTAAGGATAAAGGTATTAGAACTCAATACTTCTTTAACCCACATTCAACTTAAGACAATAAGAGCTATTGAATTTAAGATGTTTCAAGTTCTATGCTTAGCCAGGTACGGCAACACACACTTATAATCCCTGCATGGAAGAGGCTGAGGCAAAGTGATGACCAGTTACAGGCCAGCCTGTGCTACATAGTGAGGCCCTGTCTTTAAAAAGAGAAAGGGGGCTGCAGAGATGGCTCAAAGGGTAAGAGCACTGTCTGCTCTTGCAAAGGACCTGGATTTGCTTCCCCATCTGTAACTCCAGTTCCAGGGGATTTGACATCTTCTTCTGGCCTCTACAAGAATTGTACAACACGAGTGCACTTACACACATGCAGGCAATACACTCAAACACATAAAATAAAAATAAGTTTTAAAAAATAAAATAAGGGGCTGGAGAGTTGGCTCAGTGGTTAAGAACACTGGTTGTTCTTGCAGAAGACCTGGGTTCGAATCCCAGCACCCACATGGCAGCTAACTATAACTCAAGTCCCAGGGGATCCGACAGCCTCTTCTGACCTCCGAGGGCATTGTATGACACTTACCTACATGCAGGCAATACATGCATACACATAAAAATAATAAAATATTTTAAAATATTTTTTAAAAGTTCTACTCTAGCATTGTGCAGAGAAATATCAGTAAAACATAGATCCTGACTCAAAAAATCCATAGGGATGTGTGGGAAGCTAAAACAAATTATGAAACCAAAATACAAAACAGAACACAGCATGGGTGCTGTGAGGAGCGAAGGACAGTATTTGTTTAGAAAGGAAGAAGAGGTTCATTTTGATTGTGTGGATGTGAAGGAAGTGGAGATTTCACTGAAGCTTTTAAAAAGTACAGGATTTCACAAGTGGAAATTGGGTGGGCTTCTCTTTCCTGCAGGGTGATTCTGGAGGCCCCCTCCACTGTTTGGTGAATGGTCAGTATTCTGTCCATGGAGTGACCAGCTTTGTGTCCAGCCTGGGCTGTAATGTCTCCAAGAAGCCCACCGTCTTCACTCGGGTCTCTGCTTACATTTCCTGGATGAATAATGTGAGTCATTGCAAATGATGGGCTGAAATCGGATCCCCTGGTGAACTGAGATCCACTGGCTGGGTAGGGAGGAAAAGTCCATTGGGGGAATCATTGTTTTCCTTACTCCATTCATGAGTAGTTTTTTCCTTCCCTCCACAGTGACTCTGCCCTTGATAGTATTGCCTCCCTGAGTTCCCTTCACAGACTCATCCAGCACACCTCACGGTGCTATTTACAGCTTATGCAGATCTGAACCACACATATCAGTGTTGTCTTAAGTCAAAGCCTAGGGAAAAATAGTTCCAGAAAGGCATACATAACCCCTGGGCGCATGCCTCTCCTTTAAGCTCTCTCTAAGAGCAATATGAGAATTTGCTTTAACTTTTGAAAGAAGTCTTACTACATTAAACAATGCTGGGGAGTCAGGTGAGATGCTGCCTAGCTGACCTAAGTAGTAGAGCCACACAACACATGTCACTGTGCCCTCCAGTCACAGAACACGTTCTGGAGCCTTGTTCTATGAATCTTGGCTCACAGTCATTTCAAGATCAGTTCTTGCCTCTCTGTCTTGGGTATATAGTTATAACACTGAGGTGTCTTGTCACAAATGAAGCCTATTTTCTGTGCCCCCACCCCACGCTGCCTCTATAAACCCAGTGCACAGCCATACTCAGCTGGAAACTCTGGGGAAATAAGAAAGAAAGTGGACAGAAGTTATTGACTGTGGACATTACTGTCTTTTCTTTCAGGTCATAGCCTCTAACTGAACATTTCCTGAGTCCAGTGGCCTTCTCAAAATGGTTCTGAGATCTGCAATAGGATTTGAAGTCAACAAGAAGATAGGGCTGGGTGTGGTTTAGTGTGGAGCACTTGGCTAGCATATTCAAGGTCCTGGGCTCCACCCCTAATACTGCAAAGGAGGTAGAGGGGTCTTGGGGCTGTAGCTCAGTGACAGGGGCTTACCTAGCATGCAAGAAACCCAGGGTTGGATTTCCAGCACAGGGGTGAGGGGTGTTGAAAAAGATTCTGAGACTGTTGAACCAGATAAAGAGAGGCAAATTAAACGGAATATACATGGTCATATTGTGTGTTTGTATTTATGATTAGGCCATCTAGAGGAAATCCTGTTATAGGACCCAAAATGGATTTCACCGTATCTATGGATTGGTTCTTCCCTTTGGTGTTGTCTTTACCAGTCTGAAAACTAAGCCCAGTGAGAGTGTTTTTACATTATCCATTTTTTATTTATAATATTTTAGGACCTATTTATCAATTAATATGTTCACTTATTCCTCTCTTCTGTGTATATTTGATGTACAGGCACAGAATGTTTTAAAACCTCTTGCGTGACTAAACATGCCCTAACTCTCTAAGGCAGACGGTGGGGGTCATCCTTCTTTCTTTTTTCGTTCTTGCTCACCCCAAGCTCCTGGGTGACAGGAGATACAGGGTGCCCTGAGGATTAGGAGGTATGTCAGATGCCAGCAGACTAAGGAAGAAGTAACAAAGTAGAAAGGAGAGGGGGGAGAAAAGAAGATACTAAACAAACAAAGGAAAAGGTTGAGGGGAAGAGGCAGAACAGAAAGAAAGAGGCAACAACAATACAGGGTTCTGAGCTAAGTGTGAATCAGCACTTCAAGGCGGGGACTGAAATAGACAACCGGATCCAGGGTTCTATAAACCCACAGAACTGGGAAGCTGATAATTCTGCTTCATCCTGGCCAGGGCTCAGTATAAGAGTGACCTAGAAGAAAGCAAAGGGGGAACTGAAAGGAGAAGTTTTGGCGGATGACAAGTAGCTTTTCATAGCAACAACTAAAGACCAGACATGAGGGACTGGGGTAGTAGACATCACAGCAAGAGAAAATGGCTGAGACAGATCCCACCACCAGCAGCAGGGAGACGGAGCCCAGCGCTGCCACCTGTAGCCTAAGAAGTGCCCTGTCTCCCCTCTTCCCTTCACCCTGTTAAGGACCTCCACTAAGTGTGGGTGTGGGCTTCTCAAGACAGTCCCACTTAGGTGTCCCTTACAGCAAATTTGTATGTATAGATACACTGGGGTTTTATTTTTGAGAGTCTCACCGTATAGCACTGGCTGGCCTGGAACTCCATATGTAGACTTAGGCTGGCCTCAAATTCACAGAGATTCACCTGCCTCTGCCTCCCAAGTGCTGGGATTAAAGGAAGTTTGTATCACCACTCTAGGCTAAAACTTTTTAAAAACCTTTTCTTAAAGATTTATTTTATGTGTATTTGTGCATGCCTGGGTATATGTATGTGCACCACAGGTGTGCAAGAGCTCAAGGAGGTCAGAAGAAGGCATCAGATCCTCCGGAAATGGAGCTATAGACAGTTGTGAGTCACCATGTGGGAGCTGGGCACTGAACCTGGGTCATCTGCAAGAGTAGTAAGCACTCTTAACTGCTGAGCCAGCTCTCCAGTCACTCCAGATATATTGCTTAAAAGATGTAATTTACAAAAAAAAAGATGAAATTTACAGAAAAGTTTAAAGATTAAACAAAGTTTAAAAATTTTAAATTAGCTTGACATGGTGGTGCACGCATTTAGTCCCAGCACTCAGGAGGCAGAGGCAAGCAGATCTCTGTGAGTTCGAAGCCAGCCTGTTCTACATAGCGAGTTCCAAGCCAGCTGGGAATACAGGGAGACCCTGTCTCAAAAAGACAAAAATAAATAAATAAATAAATACAAATTAAGTTAAAAATAAGTCAATTGGGGGCTGAAGAAATGGCTCAGTCGTTAAGAGCACTGGCTGCTCCTGCAGAGAACTCAGTTTCAGTTCCCAGCACAGCTTCGGGGAGGCTAACAACCATCCTCTCTAGTTCCAGAGGATCTGACACCACCTTCTGGCCTTCATGGGCATTGCACGAATGTGGTGCACTGCCATGCAGACAAAACACTCATACATATAAAATAAAAATTAGTAAGTTTTTAAAGAAGCTGAAGAGACCAGAGCTTTCTGCTTTGTTTAGTAAATGAAATTGTAAGGTAGGTTTATGAGTACATTTTTGAGTTTAGGGATGGGAGAAGCACTGATACAGTTAATTTCTAGACCACACTGTGGTCCTAAGTAAGCAGTTTATTGTTTTAGATGCCTTTATTTGAGATGTCTTTCGGGAGACAAACACGAACTCTGCAGGCAGTTTTTATTTTATTAGTTGTGTTAGTTTCTGACTTCCAGCCAGATTCTGAAATGAGAGGCTTCTTTCTTTCTCAAGCCCCCTGTGTTTTCTCTTTCCTTCCTGCCTCACTATCACATGGTATTTGCTGGGAGGAGCTGGTCTAGAGTCAGGACACCTGTGTTCCTGACCCAGTTATACCACCAAGGAGTGGAAGGAATCTGGGCAAATTACCAGCCTCTTCTGTGACTTGATTTCCCCCAACTAGTTAACTTCTGAGGGCTGTTCATGCTCTAATGTTGCATGATTTAGTTGTAGTATCAAGTAAGATGCACAGAGGAATACCACATAGTGATGGTTAAATTATTACTAGCCATCAGTCGGAGAGGGGGCTAATGCCCAACAGAATGCTTGACCCTAAGGAGAAGCAGGACAGGGCTTATAAAATTTAAAACCATAATTATATTGTTCTGGGGCAAAGCCAATAACCATAGTTACATCAGATCACTATAGTTACACCAGACCAGGGGCAGATCAGTTAACAAAGAGGTTTTGATAAGGAAAAAAGCTTCTCAGTGTTGCAGAAACAATGTGCTCCATGGAGATGAAGGTATATCTGGGAAGGAGGACGTGCTATCTGGACATACTACCTGGCTACCTGTAAGTTTCCCAGTATTTTGGAAGCAATGTACTCCCTGACACTACCTGCAGGAGACCTTCTGCCTGGCTGGCTGCAGTGGGAATGGCTGGATTTTTACACAGGGTTTTTACACAGGGTAAAGCAAAAGTCAGCTAGAGAAAAATGGAGTTTAGTTTTGCCATTTCAATTGTGGAGTCCTGGGAATGACACACATCAGGCTCCTTCCTGCTAATGACACACCTGTTGTCATCACCCTCTCCGTGTCTTAGCAGGACCAACATCCTCTGGATTATTTCTCCTCACTCCTCTTCCATCATGAAGTCCTTCCCATATTTATTTATTTATTTATTTATTTATTTATTTATTTATTTATTTTTTTGAGAAGCTAATATCCAGAATGAATGGTAACCACCTATTGCTTAAATATTTTGTATTCATCATCTCTATAGATGAATTGAACATATTATAGTAGAATCATGTGATTACCCAGCCTGTCTCCATTCTAAGCATTTTGAGAACAGGATTGCATTGCATTCATCTTTGGCTTCCCAATACCCTGTGTGCTGGATAGTTTTAGTGTCAACTTGACACACCTGGGTAGAGGGAACCTCAGTTGAGGAATTTCCTCCATTGGACTGGCCTGTGGCCATGTCTGTGGGGCATCTTCTTGATTGTTGAGTGATGTGGGAGGTGCTGTGGGTAGTGCTGCCCCTGGGCAGGTGGACCTGTGTTGGATAAGAGAGCAAGCTGAGCAGGGGCCAGGGGAGCAAGCCAGTAAGCAGTGATCCTCCATGGCCTGTGCTCCAGCTCCTGCCTCCAGGTTCCTGCCCTGAGTTCCTACCTTGGGCTCTCTGATGAACTGTGACCTGGGAGATGTAAGATAAATAAACCTTTTCCTCCCCAAGTTGGTAGTGGTCAGAATAGTTTGTCACAGCAATGAAGAACAAACTAGGACACCCTGCAACACCTGGCACATAGTTGACTGTGAGTTCAGTGTCTATGTGGGTAAAAGAACTGGGAAACAATAGCAGGTGATTTTGTAACACCATTCCAGCTTCCCTCTGAATTCCATAGGAAGTCTATTTTGAGCTTTCTTTTTTTGAAGGAATTTCACCCACATTGTGGGATTTATAAGAGTCTGGAATAAATGGTTTCTCCAAACCTAGTATCCTACTTTCCCGCTGTCCCTTCTAACAGGTCAATTGTTACATTTGGAGACCTTTGCCCTAGAGAAACAGTAGTTGTAATCTCAGTAGCCCCACCCCAATTTACACAATCTGTGTCGGAGTTAACTTTCTGTGTCCATCTAGTATACTGTGCTCCAACTAGACAAGCTTGCTCTCCATCACCCAGCTGAGGCTCACCCTCCTCTCTTCCTCAGCTTTTTAACAGTGACAGCCCATTTCTTTCCAGCTCATTTTTCTTCCTTTTCAAATCCAAACCTGGATTCTGTCCACTTTCTGCTCTTTATCTCTTCAGTTTCCAGGATAAGAGCCACCATGACTAAGCTGCAACACAGGGAAGACATACAGTTTACTTGGCCACCCAGTATTACCCCTAGAATTGATGGATGATTTCTGATTTAGTAAATGTCCTCAGTGAGTGGAACTCGGCAATATTTTCTGTCTCATTGTTTCAGTTCATTCTAGTGCTGCTTCCATGTCTGGAACTCATGAGTCTTTGCCCACATTTGAAGACCCTGGTTAATGTGGCCACTGTTTCCTACTGCAGGGCTGGTGTTTCCAAGTTGGCCTGCATTGGCCAAAGCCCGTCAGGACAGGCCCTTCTCAGTACTGGCTTCTTCAGAACAACCCAGCCACCATCCCAACTCCAGATGCCCCCGGGGAGTTTGGCCTATTTGCTCTGGGAAAACTGTGGTGGCCCTGAGTGGTCCTTAGAGGAGGCTGGACTATGGTGGCCCTGAGTGGTCCTCAGAGGAGGATGGACTGCAGTGGGCCCTGAGTGGTCCTTAGAGGGGTCTGGACTGTGGTGGCCCTGAGTGGTCCTCACAGAGAGCTGGACTTTGAGGGGGCCTAAGTGGTTCTCAGAAGAGGCTGGACTGTGAGGGATTCTGAGTTGTCTCCACAAGGTGATGTAGGGGTGGTCTAAGACGCCCAGGCCTCAGAAGGGTAGCAGGCGGGGTGTGAAGGTCTGTCTGAGCCAGCTAGGCGCAAGGCATGCTGGGAGCCCACACTTCCTCCCAGGGGCCACTAGAAACCACAGGGCCAGGCAGTGCCCTGGAGCCCGCAGGATGGCCGAGAGCAAGGCAGGCGGTGCCGCTGGCCTCTTCGCCAAGCAGGTGCAGAAGAAGCTCAGCAGGGCCCAGGAGAAGGTAGGCAGACAGGCCTTGCCAGAAGGGCTCCTGAGAACCTGGGCTGAGGAGGAGGGTCTTGCTTCCCCGGGAAACGGCCAGGAAATGGGTTTCCATGAAAATTGACAGGTGTGAGAGAGAAGAGAGAAGCAGCTGAGGGGACAGCTGTCTCAGGAACCATCTACAACCCTCAGCCTGACCCAGAAGAGGTGATGGAAGGAATTAATGGTGGTGGTCAGCTGTGTGACAGGTTTAGTCCTAGCAATAAAGTGAGACTGTATCACAGATGATGAACTGAGGGGAGTTTCCCCTCAAAGCTAGTGACAACTGGCTATGCCAGTGGGTTCCACGGCTTAGCTTTGTTGGGGGAGTTCACTGAGGTCTCTGGATGTTGTTTAAGCTGGTGTAAATGGAGCTAGGAGGCAGGAGGATCGAGAGTTCAAGGTCATCCTAGTCTACATGTAGAGTTCAAAACCAGCCTGAGCTACATGAGACCCTGTCTCAAAAAAAACAAATTTAAAAGCTAAAGGAAAAAAAAAAGCTGATATGTGCGGTAGCAGTGCCTGTATCTGCTTCCCTAAATTGTCCATCTATAACTTGCCTGTCTCTCTAGATTATGAGGACGCTCTTCACACATTTTGTTTTTGGGGACAAGGTCTTACTGTGTAGCCCAGGCTGATTTTGAATTCAAGGTGATCATCCTAAGGCCTCAGCCTCCCAAGGTGCTGAGATTATAGGTGTGAGCCACCAGGCATAGCCCTTTCTGCACTTTTTTTTTCTGGGCAGGATCAGTTGTTTCTCAGAATAGCCATGAACTCACTATGAGCTTGACTTCTGATCCTTCTGCCCCTCTCCTGAGTGCTGGGATTACAGGCATGTGCCACCACACCCAGTGTTAGACGCTGGATATCGAACCTATATGCTAAGCAAGCACTCTACCAACTGAGCTATACCCCCAGCCCTTGCTCCATAAGCTCTGTTAAAGGCATTTTGTTTTTAACCTGTCTAGATTATTTTCTTTGCTTCTAACCTCCACCTACCAGCACTCTTGTAGATAAAGTGGTGTAGGAAGAGGCATAAGCCAGATGAAAGGGGTTCATGATCTTCAAAGCAGTTAAATAAATAACAAACTTAACAATGGAAATATTTGTATTATCTTCTAAAGGTGGCGTACTAGTTTGACCGCAGGAAAGATTAAGGGGAACTGACTCTCCAAAGTGGGATTACCCAGGGAAAACTGATGGAATGTAGGTGTAGCTCCTACTTTTAAGAGGCCACAATGGGAGGGAGGGGCTCTATGTACTTTGTCTGTCTTTTTGAAGTCATGGAAAGACTGGAGGAAAACGAAGATTTGGTGTGGCTAGCCTTTGTTACTTCACCTACCCCTACCTTCACCTTGATTGTTATGTCGGCCTTTCTGAAGGCTCTCTAGCTAGACATCTGGTAGATCTGAGAGCAGTGCTTACAATACAGTCTAGCTAAAAGTATATGGGGGGGTGTTCTCCTAGAGAAATCTACATTGGTTGACAAAAACAAAGCAAAAACTCCAAAAGTCAAAAACAACTCAAAACCCCATGAACAATAAGCATTTTTTTAAAGAGACATATTTAGGACTGGAGGGTGTGGTCAGTGCTAGAGCTCTTGCTCAGCATGAACTCCACAAAAGATAAAAATGTTAAAATTAAACCTGCAGAAATATCAGTTATTTTTTGCCTTACTCTTTCTCCCTGTCTTCATCCGGCCTATGATCAACACTATGTCTTTTCTTTAGAATTGTCTCTTCTTCTTAAGTCTGGACTCTAAAGCTTTAGGTAAATAATGTTCTGCTCTGGACTTCAGATCTTCCACCTGTAAAATAAGAGAATTGATGTTCTTTATGAAATTCCATCTGGTAAGACCAAGTTGAAAATGGGAGGGGACTCTTTGAACCTTAGAATCAAGTATTTTCCAGGGAGAATCAGCCAGACGGTAGAAAGCACTCTTGGCAAGGTGAGGAGAGAGGAACAAACTCAAGTCTGCCCTGAGGGGCTTCCGGGTGGATGAGGAAAACCAGATACTCTGGACTGGAAGCTTCTGAGTTCAAGGCCTGCCTAGGTATACATGGAAGGAATACCTGGGTGTTTCCTGGATAAGGGGAAGTGGCCTGTGAGGGGGGAAGTAGCATATCTCAATCAGCCTAGACCTAGAATCCTTGAATCTTGGGAAGTTATTGAGAACAAGATAAAGAGAGAAAGTTCCAGTACAGAAGAAGGGCTTCTGGGCTGGCAAGATGGCTCACTGAGTAAAGGCATTTGCTGCCAAGCCTGGTCATCTGAGTCTGATTCCTGGAACCCACATGGTAGAGGGAAAGAACTGACTTCCAGAAGTTGTCCTCTGACTTCCATGTGCTCACTACCCCCAAACTGATAAACAATTGTGATAAAAATTACAATTGTAGTTGTAATAAATTACAAATTGTAATAAAAATTTGTTTAAAAAAATAAGAAAGAGCCTGGCGTGGTGGAGTACACCTTTAATTCCAGGATTTGAGACTGATAAACAATTGTGATAAAAATTACAATTGTAGTTGTAATAAATTACAAATTGTAATAAAAATTTGTTTAAAAAAATAAGAAAGAGCCTGGCGTGGTGGAGTACACCTTTAATTCCAGGATTTGAGAGGCAGAGGCAGGTAGATCTCAGTGATATCAAGGCCAGCCTAGTTTACATAGCCAGTTCCAGACCAGCTGAAGCTGCAGGGAAAAAAAAAGGAGGGGGAAGATCACTGAAAGCAATTGGATGTAACCTTCTGAGTAATCCACAGTAGCTAATGTGTTGAGTAGTCAAATATGCCAAGTGCCGTGTTCTCTCTCTCACAGAGCCAACATTCTAAAACATTGTAAAAAAACTTTAATTCACTTTGTCTCTTCAACACTATAAGCAAGTTGTTAGTATCCTTTTTATCCTGTGCTGGGAATCGAACCCAGGCTGTTGTGTATGTCAGGTAAGCCCTCTACTACTGAGCTACACGCCTCAGCCTTAGGGTTCCAATTTTAGAAATAAGGAAACAAGTTTCAAAAGAGATTGGTAAATGGCAGGCCTGTTGCTGAAACTCAGGTGTCCTGTCTTCCCATCCTAACCCAAGGCTGCCCCTTTTGCCACAGTCCTGATAAGCCACCCTGCCATCTGTGCTGCCCCATTTCCTGCTGACCCTTCTCAGAAGGAGCTGAGCTACAGTGGAAATGCTTTTACATAGGCTCATCTTCCTCTGTCCAGGGGCCTAAAGGTCTGGTGACTTGGTGACTGTTAAACACAATAGGGATGAAACATTGTCCTGGCTCTACTTTCCGGTTCTATTTTCCGGTTCCCACCCACACGGAACAGGAGACAGAGGTTCAGGCTGATTTAGTGTAATTTTACAGTGTGCTACATCCTCACAGTTAGACTACTGCTTCACCATCTGTGTGTGACTTCTCGGTGGCAGACTGCTCAGATCTCCCCTGAGCACGGACATTTTAAAAACCACCCCCATGTTCGTCTTTTCTCTGTTAACATTTATTCAACTTATATCCCTGAGGGTTTAATTTGTCAAATATTTACAATAGATTCCTTTGTTCAGGGGGCTGGGTTTGGACCTAGGAAAGAATTAAAAGATGAATAAGAGGCAGTCTTGCCTGCCGGAAGCTTACAATCTAGTTTCGTTTTTTGTTTTTAAGTAAAAATAAATGACCTAAGATATTCAGAGTAGGAGCTCGGGGCAGAAAGACTGGGAAGGTTTCCTAGGAGGCTGAGTTTGAAATGGAACCATGGATGATCCTCAGGCAAGTGTGAGAGAGCCTCCTGCTGAGGAATGCCAGTGTGATGGAAGCTTGAGTCTGCAAATCCTTTTAGGCAGAATCCTGAGAACTGCAGCTGAACTGGGGCACCGGGAGTGAGTGCTGGGAGAAAAGCCTGGCAAAAAGCTGACATTAGAGTGTATCTAAAAGATTTTTTACATTACCACATTATTACATCTAAGAAAATAGTTTGACAACCTTGCATATTGTCATTTAGCATAGTTCCTATTAATTCCGCAATTGACAGAATTAACTAAAATGCAATAAATAATAGATAAGGATCATGGTGAGGGGCTGTAGCCATCAAATAAATAGGCTGTGATTTTTTTTTAAAGCTTTATCCCTTCCATCCTACTCTGAAGGTTAATAGGTCACCCACATTCACTAGGTGTCAATATCTTGTGACATTTACTTGCAAGTTCTCTCACTAGCTCTTTCTCTTCATGTACCTGAATTCTAACTTCTTTGGCTGCCAGACAAATTGGGTCAGAATTCTCAGGGGGCAGGATTTTAAGGCGTGGTATTACGCGGGCTTTCGTTAGGAATTGATCTATAAGTTCAATTTACAGATGCCATATACCAGTAATCCCAGCACTCAGGAAGCTGAGAGAGGAGGCTCATTGCAAGTTTGAGGCAAGCCTGGGCTACATAGCAAGACCCCTCCTCATCTCAAACACACACACACACACACATGAATTTATTCTTTCAGCAGACCTCTGATGTATATCTGTACATCGTGTTCCTTCAAGGGTTTAAGAACACCTCCAGTGTGGTATGTAGCCCAACAGAGACCTATTGCTATGGTAACAAATGACTTTGGGCCCAGAGAGCTGATTAATATTTCCAGGTTACTGCATATACCCTTCCCTTTCGGGTCTTCCATGAGAAGATTCCCTCAGCACAGTCTTCATAGCCCATGAAGCCTTTTAGCCTTGAGGCTTTAGACTCCAGTCATTCTCTATATTAACTCTGAACTGAATTTTCTCTTTCTCACCCCCTCCACCTAAGAGAAAACAAACTCTGGACAGAGGAAGGGAGGAGTAGTGAAAAGGAAGTAAGAACTGTGCTTACCGCTAAACAAGGTGGTTTTGCAACTTTCTGGTTGGTGGTAGGAAAGGGGGGTGGAGTCAGGAACTATGCCTTATACATCTATGGAGGGGTGGTTAAGTGACGGGGGTTGGAAACCAACAAAGACAGACCTGGCTAAAGGAAACACCTGCCTTTTATGGGCTGGGAAGCACAAATAGCCACAGGTATTGATTGCTCACTAAGCAGCCAGAAATAGCAATTTACATGTATAGTATTTTAATCCCCTAACCACTCCAGCACAGAAATATATTAATGAGGGAAAGGAAGCTTCTTAAACTGAGGCCCAAGAGCTTAAGAGACTTGCCTAAAAGCTTTAGCCAGTAAGTGGAAAGATAGGAGTTAATATCTGACTACAAAAGCACTCAACCTTATCCACCAGAGAGCAAGCTCCAGGAGTACCAGACATTGACCTCCACTCGCCTCCCATTCAGCTGGAGACACTTGGGTCAGAGTGTCTACAGGGGGAGCCTTCTCCATTTTCAGGCTTGGGCACTCTGGTGTGTGATTCAGATCCTTTCATAATGATACTTAAGTCTCCCTTTCTAACATCTTTCCCTACCATTCCCCATGACACACCCTAACTGAGTCACACCCTCCTGGGAAGCTGCAATCATTGGCAAAGCCCAGGTCTTTGCTAATGTGATTGTCTGGAATCCTCTTTCTACTCCCACTTTCTATTCTGTTCAGTCTAGCAAAATCCTACACCAGGCCCAGCCCATATATGGTATTAGTTTTACATTCCTTCCTATTAAAATTTCTAAGTGTTCACTCACTGGATCCTGAGCCACCTAAATAAGTAAAGAAAATTGAATCCATGAGGGGTCTAAGGAAACAGACCACAGAATACAAAGAATAATAGAAATGTATACAAGAGCAGAAATTGCCAGGGAGTGATTAACTTAAGAGGAAGAAGATCAAGTGTGAGAAAGGTTATGGAGTTTAAATGGGTGTTACTGTTTGTTTCATTTGATACTTGCATGGCAATAAAAATAGAGAAAGACAGCACCTTTAGTCCCAGCACTTGGGAGACTAAGGCAGGAAGATATTGTGGTTCAAGGCCAGCCGGGTCTACATATCGAGCTCTGGCCAGCTGGGGTTACAGGGAGACCCTGTCTCAGAACGACCAAAGTTGGGGGAGAGTTTACTATTCATTTTGGGGGATGATGGCACCTCCTTCCAAGAGGGGGTTTACAGTAGAAGACTCAGACCTTTCTTTTTACATGTATTTGTGTGTGTGTGTGTGTGTGTGTGTGTGTGTGTGTGTGTACGAATGCCACAGCCCACATTTGGATGTCAGAGAACAACCCTTGGGAGTCAGTTCTTTCCTTCCTCCATGTGAGTTCCAGGGATCAAACTCAAATCCTGATCAGGCTTGGCAGCAAGTGCCTTTACCCACGAGCCATTTTGCTGACCCCTCCATCCTTTCTTACTACAATGCAGTTACTTTGTTTATAAGTCAGGGACCCCTCGGAGAATAGAGACTGGGTCTTATATTGGTACTGAGAACAGTAAGATTGCCTCTCCCATTTCCTAGATGATAAAAGGTAGACATGGGTAGTGTTCATTTCCAGATGACTTTCAAGCATTTTATATCAGGGCTTCTCAAGGTTTTCCGCAAGTGCCTTTGTGAGAGAAGAGTTCCTTCCCTGTCTTTCTTACCTCATCCATGGAAAGAAATCTGTGATAACGGCCAAAGGAGGGACTCTTAAGTTTAAAAAAAAAGACTTTAAGATTCTGTTTTATTTTTACAAGTCTTGCTTCCCTGCTCTCCTAGAATCCTAGAAGCAACCCAGTGGTCTGTTTGCTCTCAAATAAGCTGCCCCCACCCCAAGCCTTGCATATTTTACATTCTTCCCATTAAACCTTGTTTCAATACTGTGTCCTCTGGACTCTAAAAACTCACTTTGAGACTAGAGGTGCTGTTCAATAGTAGAATGTGTGCTTAGGTTTCACAAGGCTCTGGGTTCAATACCCAGCACCCAAAACAAACATACAAAACATATATTCTCCAAATAATGAGATTCCAAAAGGATACAACTTACTTTTAGAGAGACAGAGAAAGGATGGATGATCCTTTAGTGCACTACTGCATACCCCTAGAATTCCAATTTGAGGAGAACCACAAAACACTGTTTTTGTCAGCAACATGTTACATTCCTAATTCTGTTGAGCTGATAGGAGCTTAGACCTTTAGCTATATCCAAGACCAGAAGCCAGGGTTATCTAAGACCAGCAGATAAGAGACTTGACAGTAACCTCATGGGCCTTTCTGTCTTACATCGCCAGGTACTGCAAAAATTGGGGAAAACTGTAGAAACCAAAGATGAGCGATTCGAACAAAATGCCAGCAACTTCTACCAACAGCAGGTAATGTAGAAGGTGGGGAAGGAAGGGGAAGCTTAGAGAGGGCTGAGTGCCTGAAGAATCAACTCTATAAACAAGCAAGCATCTTAACAACCTATCTTTCCCCCAATACTCAGGGCTCCAGGGCCACAGGGTCACCTGCACTTCCTTTCTCTTAGTCTTAGTCATAGGTAGAAACTTTATATTAGAAAGTGTCATAAAAGCCAAAGATGGTGGCTCATGCCTGTAATCAAAGCATTTGGGAGACTGAAGTATGAAGATCCTGGGTTTGTAACCAACCTGAGCAAAGTAGGAGACCTTGTCTCAAAAACATTTTTTTTTTCTTGGTCTTTTTCAGACAGGGTCTCCCTGTAGTCCCAGCTGGCTTGGAACTCACTATGTAGACCAGGCTGGCCTTGAACTCATAGAGATCTACCTGCCTCTGCCTCTCAAGTGCTGGGTACTGGGATTAAAGGCATGCACCACCACACCTGGCTTTATTG